ATATATATATATATATATATATATATATATATATATATATATATATATATTAAGATGTATGTGTGTATGTTGTATATGTAAATATGTGAGCTTCTTACGTCTGTTTTCAAAACTCCTTCGTACTCTATTTTTGTTTACATAAATATATATGTATATACATCTATTTATATATATATATATATATATATATATATATATATATATATATCTGTTGGATTTTGCCAAAGTCTAAAGAGCTCTGAGCACAGAGATAACGAGCTCAATTTAATTGTCAAGATAACCTAAGAATTCAATAAAATATTTTCATGCAACTGACTTTCAAATAACTCAACTTTTCTCTAATTGCTTAGTTTATATATTTTAAGTGGGAGTAAGAAAATATTTTTGGTTTTATGCTAAAACAAAAAATAAACTCTCGTGCTAAAAATCTGAGTAGTAACTTCTGATGGGCCTTTTTATGAAATACTTAAGCGCTGGCAATGATTACTCAATTTTATATAGAACTCAACTCCGTTTTCGTAAAAAAAAAAACCTTTTTGAGCTAGATTTTATGCCTAGCCTGTTTTCTCGCTGAAATTTTGTTAGCCAAAATTTTTGAAGAATGTTTGCCAGCCAGAAATTTAAGTATCTTATATAAAAAAAATTAATAAATACAAATAAAAAACATATTTGCAATTATTATCATATTCATTATTAAAATTCATTTAATTTTAATTTTATTTTCTCTTTTTTAATCTCTTTATAACACAGGAAAAATTCAAATTCAGCTCTTAAAAATTCAACAAAGTAATCGATATATAGGGTTTTCCTTCGTTGATTTGCATTCTAATTAATTCTGCACTTTCGTTGAAAAACCATATTTTGATTGTATTTTGAAGTCAAATTTAATGTAAATATCTGGAAATATCTTCAAAGCAAAGCAAAGCAGAGCCAGCCAGCCTGAGCGTGCCCATAGACGTTGGCCAAGCACATGCTTTTGCTTGTATGTGTGTGTGTGTGTGTGTGTGTGTGTGCTTTGATGTCTAGCTAAGGCTGTTTGGCTTATTTAATTGTATTTAAAAGAAATCCTTATATACTCCGTATCGAACAGACTTCGAGCAAAGTTATGGACGCAGCTCCTTCAAGCCGTAAAATCTGCATATTTTTTTCTATTCTGGCTTTGTTTGTTTTCTTTTTGGCTTAAAATATATTTAATTTGTTTCTAGGAATTTCCGCCTTAAAATGTGTTAAGGCTACAAATAATTTGCCTTGTTCCTGTCTATCACAGTTGCTCAATATCATATTTTGACTATGCTAACAAATTCATTTAATCATAAATAAGTTTTCATATTTTTGTTTTAGTTTTTTTTTTTATTTTATATTTTATTTTTTTTTTTAAGTTTTTTCTATTCCATAATTGAACGCCTTTAGGCTTTAATATTTGCAATTATTGAGCATGTTTTTTCTTTTGCTGCTGATATTTACATAGGAAATGAGAAGCTGTAATGACAAAGTGTAGCAGGAGCAGCAGCAGCAGGAGTCGGAGGGGGCAGCCAATGCCTGGCCAGCACCTGACGTAATTAAAAATTGTTTGGCTTTTGCAAAAATCTGCGCTTTTCATAGACAGGTTATTGTTTTCTTTCTGCTGCTGCTTCTTCTTCTTCAGTTGTTGTTGTTGGCTTTTTGCCATGATTTTTTTGTAACTTTTGTGATTTGCTGTTTTTGTTAGTTGCCTGTCATTGCTTTGAGTTTCTAATTGCTGTCAATAGAGAGAGAGGGAGCGGGAGCGAGCGAGACAGAGACGGGAGGCAATTTATGAAGCGAACGCGCGCGCGAGAGTTGCTTTGTGCAAATATTTTGCATAGCTGGTGAAGTTTTTTGTTTGCCGACGTCATGAGTTGGGTTCGAGTTACGGATTGCCGGGTAGTTTTTTCTATTTTTTTTATCTCTCTATGTATGTGTATAGATGTATGGGTGTACGGGTGTGCATCTGTGTTGGTGTTTGTTTGTAGAGATTTACCTTTTTGCCATCCAGCTCGTGTGTGCCTTGGGTGAGTACCTTATCTACGCTATTTGGATCGCTGAATGTGACAAAGCCAAAGCCCCTGCAAAAGAGAAAGAGAGAAAGAGAGAGAGAGAGAGAGTGAGTGAGAGATGAAAGTAAATATCAACACGGTTAGACAAGTTGCTTAAATATTTGACAAGCAGCTCGATAAACCTGAACTCCTGAAAACCTGCCCGAGAACGTTAACCGTGCCAGCACGTGCGCCAATTAGAAGCTCAAATTACATCAAAATATTGGCTAGGCAAGTGGAAGTCAACGACGACGAGTCGGGCCCAAACCAAATGCCAGGCGAATCGAGCGCTTTGCCTTGCCGCCGCTAATGCTCGACCTGACAGACGCTTACAAGCCATTACACACACAGAGGGAGCGAGAGAGAGAGAATGAGTTGGGTTGAGCAAGATGTATATGTATATGTATATACACTCCCCTCGTTTCGTGTTGTGATAAACTTATTCTTGTTAAATATTTAATTAAAATGCTTATTATCTCGCACTGCATTTTAATGAGTCTCCCATGCCCATGCCCACAGCAGCAGCAGCCAAAGACAACAAACCAAGCTCACAGATTTTGGGTGTGCCCTCGCTCTGCTCCCCCTCTAGCTCGCTCTGTATTTGTATGTATGTGCACGTTTATGTTTATTTGAGTTTTGCCACTTGGCAGCGACGCTTAACGATGCTGCTCCAGACTCCAGACTCCCAACTCCCGACTCAGCTCCAACTTCTTTGCCAGACACACAGCAGCCGCAGCAGCAGCGTTCGTTCGTATTTGTCTTGCTCTTTTAGGCGCTGCACACACACATACACACACGCACATCAAATCTAGCTGGTTGTTAGTCAGAGAGCGTGTGAGACGGGGGGCTGAGCTGGAGCTGAACCGCAAGCACAGACAGTAATTAACGACGATTCTATTGCAATTGTGGCGATTGTTACGGTTTTGATTATACCACTCTTCGCAGCAACCGGAACCAATGGCCAGCTACAGCTGCTCCTTGTCCACTTGGCTTTTTATTGCACCAACTTTATACACAAATTGCTATGCAACAGCAGCAACAACAACAGCAGCAGCAGCAGCAGCAGCGGCAATAACAATAACAATGAGAGCTTGTTGCAAATTTATAAAAACAATTTGCATATGGAAAAGCTTTCACACACACACACACGCAAACTCACACAGACGCAGAGAGAATCGGATTGCATTGCATCTAAGCTTGAACTACGAACTGGAAAAAGGGTTTTAGTTATAGTATATGTATATATGTGCACACATATGTGTGTGTGTATCTGTGTGTGCGTGTCCCTAGGTGGGCTGAATGTATTTAGATGAACGTACGTACTCGGCAGCGCCTGGCACATATTAAATAAACATTTCTGCTGGTATTTATAGTCGAGCAATTTGTGCAAATGCATTTTGCGGAAAAAGAGGCCTACGCTATTAATATTGATTTAAATTGTAGGCGTGGCCAAGCGACCTTTCCGGCCAGCTGGTGGGCGTGCCAGTGCCACTCAAGTGGGTCATACACACACACACACACACACATACACGCACACAAATTGCCAAACGGCAAGTGACACAAAGTTGAGGAGGTCCCGAGTCTGTTGCAATGGCTCCTGCTGCTGCACTTACATGGGCACAGACATCGTCGCACTCGCTCGCACACTCGCCCACTGCAGCTGTTGTCTCGCTCGCACGCCTATTGTCTCTCACAAAGTGAAAAGCCACAAATTTAAAAGGCAAAACTCAAAAATAATGTGTCTCCTGTGTGCAATTTACTCACAAATTCAGATTCAATTTATGCAACTCGAGGCAAGGCAGCAGGCGAGAGGCACAAAAAAAAAATGAAAACGAAAATGAAAAAAACAATAACAAAAACAAACACCCAGCGACAGACAACGCCAGGATAACAACAGAATAAGGATGTGCATGTGGGTATCTCTCTCTGTCTCTCTCTCTTCCCCTCTCATTCCCTCTCTCTTTTTCACTCTCTTTCCTGTTGTGCACAATAAAAAGCAAAATAACAACAAATAGCTAAGCAGCTAGAGTTGAGAGATAGATACCCTGCATGACTAGCTCAAAGCATTTGAGGCTTTAGCTTAAAAAGTTTTGAGAAAGAGTCGCATAATGAGTTTAGCATGTAAAGAAGAGAGTGAGAGATAGAGAGAGACAGATAGAAAGAGACAGAGAGAGAGAGAGATATACTACCTTATATGGTGTAGGAAACAATTCTTCCTCTTTCTCTCTCTGACTCTCTCTCTGACTCTCTCTCTGACTCTCTCTCTGACTCTCTCTTTCTCTCTCTCTCTCTCTCTCTCTATCTCTCAAACATTCTTTCTCGTTCTAGGCAGCTATAAGGCTTAGTTTTTTTCTAAATTATTCAATAATTAATCAGAAGATCAGAAGGCCTTCAATTCATCAATTTTTCAATATTCAAGAAACTTCCAAGATCTCTTTCCAGTAATAATTATTGGGATTTCTCAAACTATACGTGTTAACGAAAGTTTCTCGTTAACCTCTTTCATAAACCATTTCACTATCTTTGAGCTGCAGCTTTAAAGTTTCTTAAAACTAAAAAAAAAAGTTCGGGAATCCCTAGTCAAGCGGGGGCTAAAACAACCCTTTAAATGTTTTTACAGAACATTTAGTACAACAAACAGAGACATGCAGACTAGAAGATCTAAAAACATGCACGCTGTAGTGGGTGATATAGCTGAGCCTTAAACTGAGACGGCGAGAGAGACAGAGAGAGAGAGACACAGAGAGAAAGAGTAAGGGAAGGAGAGGCAGCGACTGAGGTCTGAGTGGGTTAGGGCAAGCCAAGGGAGAGCAGGGCTGATGCTGATGCTGTGTATGGTTCAGTTTGGTTTGGTTTGGTTTGCTGTTGTCGTTGTTGCTGTTGTTGGTTCGTTCGTTTGGATTGTTGCTTGTTGAATTTTATAAAGCCGTTTCAGAATGCTAATGAGCGCACGCACAAGCTGCCAAGGTAAGCAGCAGCAGCAGCAGCCGTAGTGGCAGCTGCAGGAGGGCAGCCGTGTGGGCGTGGCAATCATGTAACACACACGCCGCAAACACGTAGCAGCTACGATTTATTACGATCTATTTAGATTTTGATCTCGGGCTTGTGGTTGCTCGAGAAAGTCCCGAGTCCAACTTTAGCATCTGTCTGCTCTTAGTTTCGATTCACTTCGATTCAATCTTAGTCAAAGTTCTTAGTCAATTTGAAATTTTCAAATCAATTCGCTGCCAGGGGAACTTGGGCAATCGATGAGAATCGCAAAGAGAGGCGCGCGCCGCGCAACAAATGACGCTCGCTCGCCCATTGATGAGTGCACAAGAGTGTTTTATGTAGAATGTACTGTTTATTGTCGCCATTTGTTGCAGCAGTCGCCTGTCAAGGCTGCACGGAGAACATTAATGGCAGCCGCAAGTCATGCCCTCAACCTTAACTAAAAACTTGGAAATGGCAGCTACAAGCACGACGGCAGGCGGCAGGCGGCAGGAGGCAGGCAGCACGACGAGCAAAGTAGCTGACGGCTAACAAAACTTTCAATCCACTGAGCGAGAGAAAGAGAGAGAGAGAGAGAGAGTGGGAGAGTGGGAGAGGGGGGCAGACGCAGTTGCTGGCGAGGAGGCACAGTAGGTGCCAGGATGACGACGAGGACGCATATTCAAATGACTTTTTCGTGTAAAAATTCAGAACAAAACAAAAGCGCCCAAACAATTGCAAAGGAATGCAACTCAAGACGAGCGCGCGAGAATGAGGCAGAGAGAGAGAGAGAGGGAGAGTGAGAGCGAGGCAGACTGACTGAGTGTGGGCGGCTGAGTTGGTTGGCTGGCTCTGGGTCTGGGCCGTGCTGAGGCACTTCTAAGCTTTGGCTACAGTCAACGTCAATCCCGCACTAACAAGCACTTGCAGCTCGGCTCGACAGGGCCCAAGACGCTGGTCCTGGCGACTCGACGATGCTTTTGTGGTGCTTCCTATCGTGTTTTGTTTTTTTTCTTTCCATTTTCTTTGCTTCCCCTCGCTTTTCATTTTTTGTTTTTGTAGCTGACCTCGTCTCAGCCACTGCTCCACGGCTCCTGCTGCTGCTGCTGCTGCTGCTGCAGCTAGCTGCTGTCGTGTGAAGTGGGGCCGCGTGCATGAAACTTTCACAAGTGGCTTCCTGCCTTGGTGCCGTGCTCGCACTTTATAAGCCTACGCCTACACACGCCCATTTTGCACGTTTTTATGCCTTTGTCTTGTTTCGTTGTCGTCGTCGCTTGTCGTCGCTGTTGTCGTTGTTGTCGTTGTCGTCGTTGTCGCTTTCCTGGGCACACCAAAATGCATCCTTGAACACGCACACTTAACTGGGCCTGCGTGAGTGCCAGGCTGCTCTGGCAGTTGAGCTACTCAAAGCGAGCCCACACAGCACCGCCACCTCCTGCCACATGGACAGACCAGACCAAAGACCAAAGTCGGGTAACCGCCTTCAAGTTGGATGCGTTCTCGTCGCTGCTTAAGAACCGCTCGCTCGCTCTCTCACCCTCACGCCCCCTACCACCCTCTCTCGCTTGGGCAGGAGGCGGCGCTGGTGCGTGCCCTTGCGTTGATATGGCAGCACGGCCCCAGCTCCTGGACTCCTCCTGGCTTGGCTATCTATGCGGGTCGTTGGTAATTTGATTAATCCAGCGAAAAAGAAAGGCGGCCATTGGTTTTACTTGCAGCACAAGGGGTTGCGCCTCCGCCTGTGTCGCAGCTCTTCAGCCTGGCTAAATATTTAAATGGCCCGGCCATTATGAAAATTTATCGATTTAGTGACAGTTTAAGGACACACATTATGGCGCCCATTTGTTATGTTTTTATGGTTCGTATGCCTGCTGCTAATGTCAATTTTGAGTGTTGCCTTCTTTTGTGACGCGGCGCAGACATTAAATTCTTCGCTTTTCTTTATACCGACATATATATGTATGTGTGTATGTGTATGTATTTCTTTTTTTCTTCCCGCTGTTGGCCAGCCTCGGCAGTGGGGCATATCATTTAGTTGGCCCCCAACGAAAAGGTAACTT